TTGTTTTTGTTTTACTGTAGTTGTTTTCCATTGTGTAGTTTTTTAACAATTCTGCTTGCGATATTTAATTAATATTTGTTTAGCACATTGCTTTTGATTTACTCAATCGTTATTCTTCTTTCATCCTCGAGAATTCTTTTAAATAATTTTATATTTTTTAAAAATATTTATATTTTGCAATAATTTTGAATTTTTTAAAAATATTTATTTTGGCAATAATGTTTCATTTCTTTGGTAGGGTCACATCGGATCAGACTATGTCTTGATAATTAATTAAATAAATAAAAAAAATACTTGTTTCAATTTTTAGCACTTGTTATTTTTTTAAATTCAATTTAAAGACAAAACATTGGCTGTTCTTTAAGTTTTATTTTGAAAGTTTCCTGGTTTCTTCGGTCTGCAAAAGGTCTTTTAGAACTGTCTACTCTGACAGTAATTTTTCTCCATTGGTAATTTTTCTTCTGCTTTTAATTATTATTTAAATTCTATTTTTTTTGTTTTTACTGTAGTTTGTTTTCCATTTTGTGTAGTTTTAACAATCTGCTTGCGTATTTATTAATTTTGTTTATCACATTGCTTTGAGTCGCCATCGTTATCTTCTTTCATCTCGAGAATTCTTTTTAAAATTTAATTTTTTTTAAAAAATGTGTCATTTTTTGTATGGTACACATCGATTCAGACTATGTCTTGATAATAATTAATTATAAAAAAATACTTTGTTTTCAATTTTTAAGCACTTGATTATTTTAATATTACAATTTCATTAAGAACTCTACATTGGCTGTTTCTTTAAAGTTTTATTTTGAAATGTTTCCTGGTTTCTTCTGGTCTGCAAAGGTCTTTTAGCAAGCTGTCTACTACTGACAGTAATTTTCTCAATTTGGTAAATTTTCTGCTTTTAATTATTATTTTAAATTCTTATTTGTTTTTGTTTTACTGTAGTTGTTTTCCATTTGTGTAGTTTTTTTACAATTCTGCTTGCGATATTTAATTAATATTTGTTTATCACATTGCTTTTGATTTACTCAATCGTTATTCTTCTTTCATCCTCGAGAATTCTTTTAAAATAATTTTTTAATTTTTTTAAAAATATTTATTTTGGCAATAATGTTTCATTTCTTTGGTAGGGTCACATCGGATCAGACTATGTCTTGATAATTAATTAAATTATAAAAAAAATACTTTGTTTCAATTTTTAAGCACTTTGATTATTTTAATATTACAATTTCAATTAAGACATCTACATTGGCTGTTTCTTTAAAGTTTTATTTTGAAATGTTTCCTGGTTTCTTCTGGTCTGCAAAGGTCTTTTAGCAAGCTGTCTACTACTGACAGTAATTTTCTCAATTTGGTAAATTTTCTGCTTTTAATTATTATTTTAAATTCTTATTTGTTTTTTGTTTCTGAGTTGTTTTCCATTTTTTGTAGTTTTTTAACAATTCTGCGTGCGATATTTATTATATTTGGTTTATCAAATGCTTTTATTTATCAATCGTTTTCTTCTTTCATCCTCGAGAATTTTTTAAATAATTTTTATATTTTAAAATTTTATTTTTGCAATAATTTTGAATTTTTAAAATTTTATTTTTGGAAATAATGTTTCATTTCCTTTGGTAGGTCATCGGATCAGACGATGTCCTTGATAATTAATTAATTATAAAAAAAATACTTGTTTCATTTTTAAGCACTTTGATTATTTTAATATTACAATTTCAATTAAGACATCTTCATTGGCTGTTTCTTTAAAGTTTTATTTTGAAATGTTTCCTGGTCTCTTCTGGCCTGAAAAGGTCTTTTAGCAAGCTGTCTACTACTGATAGTAATTTTCTTCTTTATCTTGATATTTCACTGCTGAATCGTGGTACTGAATAAGACTTACAAGGCGATCAAGACAAGAAATTAAAAAGTCCGTGAAAGCGCGTATAATGAACTTCCCAATCTGTCTGAATTGCCAGCCTCTTCTTATTTTTCTTAATTAGTATAGGCATAGTATAGGCAGAATGATTAGAAGTAACATAAGGAAAACTTTCATAGTGCCGGGGACAACAATTTATACTATATGACTGATAGCTAGAAATGAGGCCGAACACTTGATATCGTATCCATACATCACACTTTAAATTTGAAAATGATCCCAGCAAAGGCTAAAAGAAGTTTGTTCTAGAAATATATTTTTAGACGCTATGAGCTGATTCTGATCAACGCAATGAGCTGCTGAATAGTTGGTAAAATATCAAGGCTGTTGTTTTCCGTTTCACTGAGGAATTTCTTAAGTTTACAATATTTTCATTGGTTTAAAAAGAATTACGACTGTTCTCTAAAATATAAAATTTTACCCAGAAGTACCTATTAACTCATTTCGTATCGAGCTCTCAGGTATCATCGATAGCAGGCTCTCATTGATATTCAAGGTATGATCAATATCAAGCTCTTATTGATATTCAAGCTCTCATCTATTTTCATAAAGCGAATATTTATTAATTTGTTTCGCGTCACGCTCTCATCGAAGATCATTCCGTGTGTTATACTAGGGCTATAGTATAAAATCTTCTCAAAGCACAAAGTTCTCTTAACTAGTTAAAAAATATTTGGCGGTGCTCTGCCTTATGTCACTCCTTTCTTTCAGGCATGCTTCTAATTAATATGAAATTCTCACGAACTCAAATAAAAAGTTACTCATTTCAGGAAAAGAGCTATTGTAATAAAATTACTATATTATTATAAATAAAAAATAGAAAATCAGGTCGGTAGAATAAAGTGAAAACTCGTAATTGTACCCTTTTTAATACTATGTTTTTGCTATATGCTTCTCCTGTGATTGTATTATTGCTTTTAATGTGTTGATCAGAAAAATAATTATGTGTTTTGTTTAAATAATGATTGTTTACTGCTAAAGTGTTCTTTAAAAGAAATATAACGACTCAAATTTAGTTTTATTTTTTATGAGCATTCCACTCAATCTGGATTTATCCAAATGTTTGGCTTTTTCCGCCATCAGAAGTCCAAAGTGAGATTCAGCCGAATATTGTTTTCAATGGCCACAAATTAAAATATTTTCATTAATGAAACTAAATTTCTTACATCATATATTAAAATGAATGGCAAAGGTCAATTGCTTGTGTCTCTATCATATCTTCGGACCCTCTTCTGCCCAACCTTTCGACTGGAACCGCTGAAACCGCATACTATTCACGCTAGCCTATATTTCTTCCTACCTTGATCATCACATCGTCCAGATCAGTCATCAACTGGAAACGTTTGGTCAATGGTGCTGACAGATTGGCACGCCACCTGCCAGACAGCATGACAAATGAACTCTGACATAGAGCTGAAGCCTTATAATCTTAATATCCCAAAATGTCATTCAAAGTCCCTTCTATTTCGCGCCCAGGCATTTAACAGCTGCTATTTTTGCCAGAGGCGGATACTAGGACTGCTGATTTTTGCGTGTTCTGTACCTTAAAGTATCTGGAATTTTAGTCATTTCATTCTTCCATTATTACGTATATATGTAAAGTGTGATTCTGTTAACTGCTTTTTCTTCATGGTGAGGCAATTTTAATGAGCAATGAGCATTGGCTTTTTCAAATTTCTTTGAGGTTCGAACCCCACGAACGGGCTGGCTGCATGGGTGTTTTCGTGGTTTTTCCCTTTTACATGTGTAACAGTTTACTAGCCAGTTTCCCGAAGCAATCCCCCCTAGGCAGATAGCCCTAGTGTGCTTTTCCATAATTAAATACACCACACTATTTCAAATTTCTTTAAAATTTTAGCAGCCATTCGTGGGGAAAAATGCTTCAGTAAAAATTATTTAACATAAAAGCTGAATAAGCTATTTATATGTATTCTATAAATTTCTGACAAAATGAAAATTATAAAACTTATTATCCGCGAAGAGGTATTTTAAATCACGAAGACTCGTATAAGAATCCATAAAATTACTGCAATGAGAAAAATTCTGCGTACGCAAAATTGCATATTCTAAAACATTCTTAGAATTTTATGACATTACTTGCAGTCTTATTGAATGATATATGAAGAATCAAATGAAATCCAGTTTTCATCAAGGTCGGAATGGAATATTTAAATTTGAAAATACTTTTTGCTTTTCTCTGTCCCCTCTCGAATGTGTAAGAATTTTTTGAATGTGTAAGAACTGAATTTTGCTTTATTGGTCATTTTTATACGCAATCTGTAATACTTCTGGCACAGGTATATGATGTGATGGTGATGTGAAGGGCTCAGTCCGACCCTCCTGGCAGACTTTACGTCGCCCTATGGCCTTCTTATGGGCTGCGCCAGAGCAAGCCAGAATCAACAACAGCTCCAACAAAACAAAAGATACGAAGATAAGGTATATGAATGATAAAGCATAGCAAGATCTTGCGACTTACTGCTTTCTTTGTCTAATGACTTAATATTCTTAAGAAGCTGAGTCCATTTCTTGTTTGGCTGAGTGCATTTCTCTGCAACATATGCCTTTTAAATAGTTTACAAGGAAGTGATTGTTTTCTCATATAAATTATCTATTTACACTACAAATGAAACCTGTAGTTCCTCAAACTTTGATATCGATGCATCTCTGTGTAATTAAATGGTCTTAAGAAGATCACTTATTTTTCAACTGCTTACGAAAGTGCGCCTTAAAAGCAAATATGTACTATTATTTCTGAATATGTACACTCACATTCGTATTGTGTGAACGAATGATAGCAAGATGCTTCAAATGCAATTTTTACCGAAGGAACTGGAACTAGCTTGGCCATTTAGATACCCTGGGAAATTTTTTTCAACAATTCGAAATATAAATAGATATTAAAAGAAAGAATATCCATGAAGGGCAAACTTTAGAGCTAATAATGAATTATCAGGCAAAACTCTTTTCTGGATAAATTATAAAACTATCAGATGAAAAAACAAACAAATAGCAAAAGGACGTGGCATAGAAAACGAAATATTCGAACTTAAAAAATAATTATAAGTAATTCAGAGATACTTACCTCGACTTGTGGTAGGCTAGCATTTTCTTTTGGAGTGATAGTTGTGTCACCTATTCCACTGTCCGGGGATGGAAGATCTACAGAAAGTCCGTGTATAGTTCCTTTGAAACCTGCAGCTTGTCGAATATATCGATCGACAAATGCAGCTGTATCTGTTGTATCTGTATAACCAGGCACACTAGAGGCCACCGTTGCTGCCAGGTCGTGTCGAATTTGTTCAGTGTAGTAGTCTGGTAGTGTTCTGTAGTCAGGTTGTGTAGTTACCATGTATACACTAGTAGTTGGCTGACCTTGATATTGCGGTGTAGCTGCTGTAGTGTACTGTGCAGCAAGATTTTCATAACTTTGTGCGAGAACGTGACTGGAATAAGCTTGTGCAATTACTGCACTAGCAGGAGGAAGCTCCCTGGTTTTAGTAACTGGGGGACTTGGAGATGTTGGTATACCGGGACTTCGTTGATGTTTCACTTGCAAGATTATTGGCAATGGTGAACCAGGATTGTCATCATTCAAGATTTTCGTAATCGTACAATTCTTTAGGATGTCTGAAGATTTATGTATGCTAATTACATTACTATTAGGCACAATAAGTTCGTCGCTTTCTGTAGAACTTTCACGTTTTAATAGGCCACGATTTAAGTAAATGTCCACTTCCTGCTTCGTGACATCAATTGAATCAGAAAGTCGGCGGTTCTTCAGTAACCCAGCTGCTTGAGGAAAAAGTGTCACAGGTAGTGCCCCTCCAAGACCAGCTGTGCCGTTACCAACGTTTCCAGTTTGTCCGTTAGTAACCGTCCTGGAAAAGAAAAAAATTCTAAATTCATTGCATGTAAGCAAATTACTTAAATCAGCGGAAGAATATGTGAAAGAAATTGTATCTAAAAGGCATTATGACATCCTAAACCAATAAAATGCATAACATTTGCGTAGTAAGCACAGGAAACTGG